CACATGCCAATCCGGCAAATGCTTTAGGCCTGAGTCAGCTGAGTACTTCTTAATACATGTGGATACTGGAGAGACACTGTCCCACATGCTCAACAACTACCCAGTCCCTCTAACAGCTGTGTTCACTGTATACTATAACCACTGCAGTGGACACACTAAGAATGAGACACTTCACGTAGACTGGTTAGTGACAAAGGTAAAACACATAAAATCAGTATTGTAAAAGGTTGTTACAGAAACCGTTTCAGAAGCCAGCTATTCTTTGGCATAGCTTAAGAGTAAACCTTCCCTAGCTTTGAAATGCAGTCTCTTGATTTTCTTCTGCTTGTAACCCAGCTGAGACTGATTTCTGTGTCCTTGCGAGACCTTGCATCACAGCACACATGAATATCCGCTGTTAAGAGTACCCTAGGAGCTACTTTGGGGAAAATCAATCTCTGTATCACCACCTCACAGAATCTGACGGGTTATAATCAACCTACTTTTACTAGTAAATGAAACCTTGAGAACACTATCACTGCAACGGACTGTAACAGCAACAACCAGAGGGTACAGAGGGTACCAAAGTCACCCTCTCTGTACCAAAGTCAGTAGCTGCATCAACAAGAGCTTTTCTCGGTGCTGCAATATCGACTTGTGGGCACCAGAGCGCATTCCTGGCACTTACATTTTAGCTTAGCAAAACTAACTTTTAAGAGCTGTTACCTCTCTTGTAAGGAAACAGAGGTATCAAAAGCTGGCTACAGGTAAACAGTGCTGTACTTTTTGTAAATGCATAACAGCATCCACCTTTTCTAAGAGAAATGGAGGGTAAAGAACTGTAAGATGTTCAGAAGTAAAAGCTCTTAAGACCCGAGCTTTGTCATTGCATTTTATTACACTACCTTCATATTTCATTATCAGCACCTAGATTTTTTTGCCACACATGCTACCCAGACTCTTGATAACTTTCTCCAGAGGCCTCCTGTGGCTTCCCACTGCACTATCACCTGCAGGACTTCCTTCTGCCGTCTGTTACTCTCATCTGATCAATATTGGTTTCCTACCTCTCTCTTTCCCCCCCCCCCCCCCCCCCCGGCACAAGAGCTCACT